CCCCGCAGCTTTGAGATTGTGCTAAACATGCTTCTGTGTGCATCGAGTCAGAAGGAATTTCCAGAATGTTCAACCAGGCTTTTACCTGGGAGTGCGGAAAGCAGCAGGAGGATGGCAGAATTTAATTGCGTTTCTGCTCAGAAGCGTGTTCTGTTGAGTTTCGCAAGGCTTATTCCTACACCTGCGAGCAAGTTCATCCTGCCGTCCTATAAATGTCTTGGGAGTAAGATCAAGTGGGACTTCCAAGTGAGCGTGCACGGTATCTGCCGGAAGTGTCTTCCGTAGACTCTCCTCCACCAGAAATCATCAAATGTGCTTTGGTGTTCAGCGTTTGCAGTGTTACTTCGGTTCTGTGCGGTGGTTCCACTGGTGGCGCAAAATGCTAAGCCGCACGTTTTAAAAACTATGACTTAGTGAAAACCACCACTTTATTAATTAGTCAGTGCTTGAAATGAGATATTGATATATTTATTTAATCACATTTGTGTAGCTCCCATTCACACAGTGGCTCTGGGCAGTGTACATAACAAGTTAATCTACCTTAAAACATTAAAGCCACCAATTTAAATTAAAAGATAAAAAGATAAAAACATGTTGACATATGAGTCAACATTTAGGCTTAGCGTGTTGTGAGATCCCTGTGGCTTAATTGTTTACTCAGATTTCTGCTTTGTTTTTCAGTTATCAGACCTTTCAGGCAGTTGAAGGCAAAGATGCTCATGAGCCGAACTTGTTCCCTGGTAGCTGCATTCGTACATATTTTTTTAAAAAATCTTACATAACTTTAAAACACAAAGTGTTCTACATTCCTTTACCTTCAGGGATATGGTTGTGTTCCCTTATGCTTGGCTTTCACTATTGAATGTGGGCCAAGAGTGATAATTGGGTTTTGTTGCACCCATTTCAAAAATACATAAGAGGTCAAGAACATTTTGCAGGAACTGGAACAGCAAGAAAAAACAACGTTGGGATAGTACAACAAATTTAGCAAAAAGATGGACTGAGCAAATGAAATAATCAGTGAGCCCAGCAGCCCTGTGTATTGTAATATCTTTTGTATAAGCAATGGCTGTTTAATTTTAAAATATTCAGTCCTCCATATGAAAACTTGAGAATAATGAACTCAATAGGATTTCCTCTTAAGGGAACATACATTGGAAGTGATGCAAAGGGGCAGAAGAATGAAATCTTGCAGTATGTAGATGAAATTAATGGAGGTCAGAAAGATTTTTTATACCAGTTGGTAATGCTAACTGATTTAATGCCATATGGTGTGGACAAAATGAGCTCTCTTTTTGTATCCTCCCTAAGTTCAGCCCATAGGAAATTTTTAGTTTTCCATTCTTAGGTGCTGAAAATGTATAGGAGATGTGGTTGCTTCAATGGGCTGCATTAGAAACTTTTTCAGAGACTCCCTTCCAGGTTGCATTTTGCCAATTGTATCTCTCCTAGCAGGCGTTCCTTCCAAATAAAACTGCAGTCCTAAACAAAAGATGGGGTGGGCAAATAACCAACTAGAATGTTAAATTAACCTTAGAGAAATGGCTGTTTTAAGCTTCAGTGGTTCTGCAGAGGCAAAATCTCGGATAAAACATCTGCTCTTATTATTTGTACAGTAAAAGATGGTTTATCCTTCCGGATTCTCGATCAGGTTGTAGAAGTGGATGTTTGATGTTGGCTCAGCTATTCCCTGTCAAACCAGTTGCCACAACATTTTAGCTGATAAAATAGCGCTTCTGGATCGGTTTACACTGCAAATGTTCTGCAGCACTTCTAGAAGTCACTATTTTTCCCATTTGAAAGGTGCTTTTTTGGCTTGGTACTGCAAGAATATTTCTCCTGTGGCTTGGGCTGGGTTCCCACATTGCAGTGAAGTCTAGTCATACCAATTGTTTTATGGCTTAGTAAAATGTGTAAATCTGGTTACTGTCTTTTTCCTGTGAAATTATCCTGTGATGGTTCCTTAATTGAATAAGACTGTTTTGAAATGAAATGGTGGTTAGCTGAGATGCCTCCTGTCCTATTGAAATCTTTCTATACATGCATTTGCTGGGGTGTTATATCTGCAGGGTTATATAAAGAATCTCTGAAGAATCTATTCACATCGCTGAACGGGCCTTGTATTTTCTCAGGTTTAACTAATTTCCTTGATTTGGTTTTCTTTGTTAGTGCTAAGTCATGGTTTTTTTCACTGATTTGTTTAATTAACCTCAACTGGCTGTGCTAACATAGTATGCCAAGACATAAACCCTGATGTGCAAACCACAAAAATGCATCAGCTAAAACCGTAGGAACATAGTTAGGAGCACCAGACTGTAGTCCACATGTTGGTCTTCAGGTGTCATTTGTGTCATAGTCATCAGTGTAATCACTTTGGGTCGTGTTGTAAACAAATGTGTTTTCTTGTCAAAAGCAGTAGAAAAGTTGGGCTTAATTTGTTCTTTTTTCCTCTACCAAGCGTAAAACGCCAATCCTGTTTCTCTCACTAGTTAATAATGGAGAAATTTCTTGACAGAAATCGGGGACTTGAGGATCTTCTAGGCAGAGGAGTACAATACAAATGCAGGCATAAGAATAACTGTAAAATATTTAGAAAATGTGTGTTTTTTCTGGAAGCTAAAGAAGTTGTGTCTCAGTCTATCTAGTGGGTACCATCAAAAATGAATTTCTGATGACCGTGAAGAGAAATGCTCCCACAACTGTTGTCCTGGCTTGCACAGTGTGGAAATTATATACTACTGTACAAGATGTTTCTGATCCTGGCTGAAAAAGATGAAATGCTTTCAGACTAAGTAAGTAGAGCGGTAACTCTTGCTCTTTTTTCCTTCTACAGGGTAAAGGTTCTAGAAGGGCTTTCTTAATGATGGCGACGCAAGATATGAGTATGCATATGGAGGAAGTTGTCGTGGTAACAACTCCGGATAGTGTGGTTGATGGCAGTGGTGTGGAAGAAGTGAAGACTGTCCTAGTCACCACCAATTTGTCCCAGCACGGGTGAGTAAAAAGATGAGCTTTTTAGCTTGTGTGATGGGTAGCTTCTGAGTTGCATCTGCTACAATGGCATACCTAACGTATTTGACACCTGGAGCAGATCATCTTTTAACACCCCCCTCCTTCATTGTTGAAAGCCAGTTTGGTGTAGTGGTTAAGACATCAGACTAGAAGCCAGGAGACTCTGTGAATTCTAGACCCACCTTAGGCACGAAGCCAGCATGAAGCCTCTCCCTCAACCCTAGCAAGAAGGCAAGGGCAGGCCATTTCTGAAAAATGCTGCTAAGAAGGCTGCAGGGGTCAGTCACTGGGGATCAAAACTGACTGGAAGGCATACATTTTTTTCTCCACCGCTGCTACGCCGCCACCGACCGGGGCCCAAGCAGCAGCACCCCGACTCCAAGCCCACTGTTAGCCTCTTAGTGTCTTTGGCAGCACCCCGTTATCGCCTGCACCTGGGACGGACACCTCCACACCTCCCCCCACCTTGGTGCGCCTCTGAGCTGCTGCATACCTTCTATTCGTTGAAATAGACCCAGCAGTAGTTAATTATCAATGGGAAAATACTATCCTCGGAGAGAGAGTTATAGCTTTGAAAGGTTGCATAGCGTATTTAATTAATTAATTAATTGATTGATTGATTAAACAGAACAAAGGGAAAACATAGAAGACAAAAGAAAAAACAACATTGTGTGTGTGTGTGTATATATATATAATAGCTTCTTATACATACACACACACACACATATATATATATGTGCATATAAAGTTTTAGTTGTAATGACTGTACCATTGTAATCATTATCTATGTCTGTAAGCATCTTGTTCATAAGTTGCAAGGAACATCAGTTCTTCAGTCTACTGAGTAATTAGGGTCATAAATTTATCTTTCTGATGTTGAATTAGCAATAAGAAGGGTGTGGAGAACCTATTCTGCTATCTGGCTGTCAATTTCCAAGTAATAGGTATGTAGTTCAAGAGCAAACCTTGTGTTACAAAGTCAAATTAATAAATGTAGTTACTTCTTCCCAGAACGCATAGGTCAGTGGCATTTTCGGTTTTGATTATGTGCCATCAAGTCAATGTTGACTCTTAAAGTCCTCACGGATAGATTACCATTGCCAGTGTGAAATGATGTCCTTGCCATTGCCGCTAAAGTGATCATCCGTCTCCAGCATCGTCCTGTATCGCTGCTGCCCACTTTTGCTGCCTGCTTGCTTTATCTGAGCAGCTGGGATGACTTTTCATGCCTTGGGTGACCTTGCTGGCATACATTCCCTATGTTTTTCACTCATCTTTCCAGAAACACCCCTCTCCTACCAGCTTTAGAGATACCTAAATTAGTAGAAATCATTAAGTCTAACGAGAAAAAATGCCCACAATGAATCTGTATAAATATTTGTATTAATAAAGTAATTTGATATGCAGATTTTAAAGGCTGACTGGAATAAGAAATTGGAGGTCCTCTTTTGTCTAAATAATGGGACACCCTACCATTTATCTCAAAATTTTCAACGTTATGTCTTACTCAGCAGAAAACAGTATTTTCAGGCCTATTGGGCCCTGTTATATTGTATAGAAAAGGAATAACTAAATAAGTTCTTGGAGATCCAGTGAGAATAATGCCACATTGAAACACATGCCTTTGTGATGTCCTTAAATTGCAGAGTCTTTTGTGCATCTCATTTTAAAATGAAAATGAGCAAAGCAGAAGATCAGCTTTGACCATTCCCTGCAAGCTGTCCCTTTATGATGAGAAGAAGTGTTCCATGTTTAAAAGTTTGTGCTGGGGCCAAGCTAAGACTGTTGGCAGCCATGCCAGAATTTAGGTTGTATGAATTGCAATCTGCCATTCCCTAGCACTAGGAAATACAGCAAGGTTCTGCTTTCTCGGCCACACCCAGGAGTAGGTGATGTTCTGTCTTCTACTTGAAGAATGCTCTAAAGACATAATTTAGACACGCTATCAAACTCAGGTGAAGAAATTCCTTATTCCAGTCCCTAACAACATAGCAGTGTAGTCATTCACCTTATATTTCTTGCTTTAATTCCTTCCACATACTTTCTCGGATTTGGATCGCAACAGTTTTCCCAGTGATGGATAAAAACAATTTTAGGAACAGAACCTACTTCATTGGTATTTTCTCCCACCTTCTCCCTGTTTGCATTATGAATTCTCTGGAGAGAAACCTCTGAATGTGACTTCCTTGCAAAAATCAGCTGTGCGGCCACCCATGAATTTTGTCATAGAAACAGCCCATACAAAAAGCTGTTTAATAGTAGGATTAGGTGGGTTTGTCTGAATAACGACCCTCTCTCTGGTTTCCTAAGCTGAAGAAACGAACACTTTTTTTTGGTAGCGAAAGAGAAATCACGTGAACTACTCTCATGAAACAAAGATGAGAAAAAAATAGAGCTCCCTGCTTTTCTGCTTCCACTTGACAGTTCTTTATGCATTCCACACTGCTGGTACTAAAAGAGAAAGATATACAGAGCTAATATAAAATTGGCTTTCTGTGGATAGTTGGTCTCTTTGTTTAAACATTTTTATACTGATTTTCCAACTGGCTGCTGTAAATTAAGATAAAAGCAAATATAAAACATGGGGGATCTTAAAATGTCTAATCTTTGCTGAAAATCTCCTAACAGGCAGGCTTTATAGCCTTTATGAAAAGTGTTGGAACCTAATCTCTTAAAAAGAAGTTCTAAAGGTTATGGCTGTTATTGCAAATTCCAGCTGACTTCACACAAGCCTGCCATATGGAAAAAAATGGGCAAACAGGTAGACTAAGTGGATTTCAGGCAACCTATGGAATCTTACCAGTCAGTCTTTAATGTACGCACTTAATAAAGTGTCCAAAATACTGCAATTACCACTGAGTTCTGCAAGGTTCATTTTTGAGAAGGTACATATATAATGTGCTGCCAGAAACATTTTGCTTTAATCTTACTAGCAACATCTTAAAATACATGCAAAATGCCACACCTTTCTCTTGTGAGTTAGAGACCTGTTTGGCAAGTAGGTTAGTGAGAATGGATGTTCCTGAGCGCTGGTTTGCAGCCTGAGTGCGCTGCTGTACCCTTGTAATAAATCTGGGATGTTATCCTGCCAGTGAAATAGTTGGTGACTGTGGCAGACAAAGCAAGTTAGCGTCATATCCAGGATGATTGTGGTGTAATCTGCTGTTAGCAGATGCTGAGAGGAAGATGATGCCTCTGTGCTAATGTCAGGCTCGGTGCTTTATGCAGCCAGAAGATGAAAGATGCAGTTGCCTGTCCTATCTGCCTGTTGTTTTTTAGAGGCCAGGAGCTTTTTGCCACTGAGTATTCTACGTACTGGTGTTTGTATACACCTGACAATGGACAGGCTTCTTTGCTTTTTAATAATAAGAAGCACAAAATGATATGCCAATGTGGTTAAAGGCTTACACAAGTCCTATCTATCTTTTTGGAAACTTGAGGCTGTGCTGAAGCTGGAGGCCACAGTGGCCTTGTCTGTGGGGCAACAACTGCACATCAGTCTGTTTGCCTCCATGTGCATCAACAGGCCCATCTTTTTCTAGCGGGGGCTGAAGGAGGTGGGCCTTCCCTTTGTTAAATTGCATTGGGACTGTTTCATGGCTTACATTGTTTTCACATGTTTCTTGCTGAAAATAGTTGAAAATTATGCAGCTGAATTATGGAGCATAGTTTCTTAAAAAGACTAGCCAAGTCTTTCCTGGAACTGCTGCCCAAGACTCTTTTAGTTTGAGAAAGCAGGGGATGACCTGGGATCTTCTGCATGCAAGGCTTGGATATTGCCTGAGAACCATGGCCTATATTTTCTCTCCTGAATTGCTCATGAATAAAAGTGTTAAAATAGTTAATAACCCCTCTTCATTGTCTTCCTTTTCACAGTACCACTTCTGGAAGTACAATGGGATTTTAATGATTGACACTTGTTATCATACGTGCATCTCAATGTGTCCACATGTTATTTTTATCTGCAGAGGCCTGGGATTTGAATGCACACCCACATCCATGTCTGGGCACCACTAGTCTCATGTAAACATTTTGTAAACACATGACTACCTCTACAGAATGGGTGGAGGTCCACCTTCCGCTGACTACTTGGGTCTCAGCTTGAAGGATGTCATGGGTTGCTCCTTAATAGATTTCAGCAAGTATTCTGATCCTTGAAAAGTTCCAGTGTGTCTCCATATCTGCTCAAAATACTGGAAGTTTTTCGTGTTTTCATGTAAATTGTTCTCATATCTTCATCTTACGACCTTACAAAATTATGAAACTGCTCCTCAGAATGGTGAAATATGATAATGTGGGTTTTCAGAGCATTACATATTTTTCAGGGAGATCCTGTGGCCAGCTTCCTTAACAAGTCCAGCTTTTTGTATTTGTCTAGAAGAAGCAAGCCTCAAAGTCTTAAGATTTTAAGGCTTTTTTTTTGTCTGATAGACTGAATTTGCTCATTTGCTGAAAATTAACTTTCTTAGTGACAAGAGCTTCCTGGGAAACTATGATACATAGTCAGAAGATGGGAGAATATATGCTGAAAGGCCTGTGTGCTTATTTCCTCAGATTTCTAGGTACTAATAGCTTAGAGAGGCAAGAAGTAATTTTCTAGAGGAAAATGGATAACATGAGCAGCTTCACTAATATTATTTCTTCTCTGTTTGTGTCTATCTCTCTGACAAGAGGTGACCTCAATGAAGACACCCTGGAGACAGAAAATGCCGCTGCTGCAGCAGCTGCAGCTTTTACAGCCTCTGCACATTTGAAAGAAGCCCTTTTAGGTAAGTGTGGTGAATGGCCAAGCAGGGGTTCTTTTGTATTGCAATCATGGGCATCAGGATATTGGTATCTTCCCAAACTAGCTGCAACGGGCAAGGTTCTAGTTACAGTGCTCAGAATGTCCACTGGGTTGTGTAATCTCAGCATATCTAAGAAGACACCAGGAGGGGAGAATATTAGTATTGTGCAGTAAATGCTAGGCACTTCCACCAACCTTCCTCTGCATACGGAATGAATGCTAAGTCCTAAAAGATTGCACTTATTGTTATTCTGATTGCAGAGATAGTTCTTATTTATTTCTATTTCTGTTGTCATTGTATAGCCCATCCTTCCTCTGATTGCTCAAGGCACCCTTCCCTGATTTTATCCCCACAACAACAATTCCAATACTGCCCAGAGTCACTTCTTTGTGAGATGGGCGGTATCTAAATTTGAAAAACAAACAAACAAATAAATTCCTGTGAACTAGTGGCCCAAAGTCACCCACGGAGTTCTGTGGCCCACATTTGAACTCCCCCAGCCTGTATTGGGGCAACACACTAACAGCTCTAAAATGTAAGAGGATATTGAGAAACGGCTCAAAGTGTTTGCTCCATTTGTTTGTATGTTTCATTTGTGTCTTGCTTTTTATCTGGAAACTTAAGGCAGCTTATCTCCTTCCTACTTTATTCTCAAAATCATTCATGGTAGAGAGACAGGGACTGGGTGCATTTTATTTGGCTTTGGTTTAGTGCAATCTGTGAACCCAGCCATTGTAGCTTCTTCAGCAAACCATGGTTTTAAAAGGTCCTGGTGTAGTGTTATTAGTGTAACAGGCTCCATTGCTGTTAAGGGACCTTCATAGACAAGGGAGGATTTGAAAAATTCACCCCAAATCATTATACCTCGTTCAAAATATGCCAAAGTGATCCATGCAGAATAAGATAAATGTATTTTGCCATCTTACTTATATCCTTCTGTTGTATGTGGTCTTTCATGGAAAATATTGCTTAATCCTAAAACAGCTGCTCCTAAATCCATATCTTGGGGTGATCACCTTTGGAAGCTATTATCTTGCTTGAGCAGCTCTCTGGCGTCTCTTCCGATGAGTAGGGGCCCAGTCTTTTCAGTTCTGCATAAAGGGAGCAAATTTGCTGCTCAGAGGACTGCCATCTAGAATCCGAACAATGCTTAGGTGCTCAGGAAACGAGAAACACGTTTCTAATAGCTGGGTGTGAGTATTGGCTACATCTAAATATAACCATATAAAAAGTTTGTGTATTTATATTTGCAGAAGATTCCCATGTTTTTCATTTGAATTTATAGAAACAGAAAACACGGTTTGCCTTGTTTAAGAGTTAGCTTGGCTTTGGGGGGACTTCCAGGGAAGAAATGGCGAACTGAAGACAGCTCTGCTAAAAGCGGAGCCGACGACCGCAGGAGAATGAGGAGCCGGCGAATAGACCGGCTCTTCGTAATTTCTCTCCGGACAAGGATAGGACTTGAGAGTTCCCACAAGTGCTCCAGACAGTTGCTCCTCGCGAGGAGACTGCGAGACAGCAGTCCCTGTCTGGTTTAGAGCTCTCAGAGTTGAGGGAATAGCTATCTTGCTGAAACCGTGGTCAGTGTCTTCCAAAGGACACTGGGTCCGCATGCTTCCTTTTCTAATCACTTTTGGAAATTGCTAGTTAACTGCTTTTCAACTATTAGGAACCTTTGGATCAACAGTGTGAGTATCCTTCAGTCCTTAGTGAAAGAAGTTTTAAATACAAGTTTAAGGACTTAATTTTTTTTTGAATAAACAGCAAAAGGGTGATTAAAACTTTGATTTTAGAAAGTTACAAATAGACTAAGGGTCCAGATAAATTTGAAATAAGATTTTGGAATTAATTATAAGATTCTTCCCATGGGAAAATGCTTTTGTTTTGAATTCTTTTAAAAAAACAAAAGATAGGACTTTGAAGGTTGGACACTGGAGGGAACTAGAAGGAACTAAAGATTACAATTAAAGGAGAAGAACACTCAAACTCAACAAATACAGAATGAAGCAAAATATTTTAACATTGGACATATGGGTCCCTCCACTGTGAGTCTGGGACTCTCTCCCGGGAGTGAGAGTCTGGGGAGTGCATGAGGATATTAGGATCAGGATCCACCTTCTGGATGGGAGACAGGAGGTGTGAGGGAGTGAATGGGAGGTCCACCCTGCCGACTAGTGAGAGAGGTCATGTAGGGTGGCAGAGGGTGTGTGGGAGCGTAAGGTTTGGTGGGGGGTGGGTCCTGGCGGCGCCGAGAGCGCGAGCTTGTGTGCCGGGGCGACCCTCTCTCACCTGTGAGTGTTTGGGTGTGAATGAGGATGAGTGGCTGGAAGGAGGGACCCTTGCCCCGGGTTAGGGACCCCGGAGGTTCAGGAGTGGAGGAATTTGGGCCTACAGCCCCCGGGGATTATGCGGTGGGCTACTCTATCGAGGTGGTGACGGGTAGGAGACAATATGGCGGGAGCTGGAGGGCGGGCCATCTTCGGGGAAGACGCCCCCGGTGTGTGTTACCAGTGGGGTGTTCCAGCCCTCCTGGCTCATTCCCAGAGCCTGGTCAGCAGGTTTGTTAGGGGCCCTGGCCTTCGGCTGCTGTTGCTTAATGCCAGGTCGGTTAACAACAAGGCCCCCCTCATATGTGACTTGATCACTGAGGAGGGGGCAGACCTTGCATGCATTACTGAAACCTGGCTGGGGCCCGGGGGGGTGCCCCTCTCGGAAATGTACCCAGCTGGGTTCTCGGTATGGCACCAGCCGAGATGCCAGGGCAGGGGAGGAGGGGTGGCTGTTGTGATCCGGGAATCTCTAGTGGCCTTCAGGGGCATTGCTCCACAAGTTTCTGGCTGTGAGACACTGTTTAGTAGGTTGGGCGCCCGTGAACAGTTGGGAGTTCTGCTATTGTACCAGCCTCCCTGCTGTATGGCAGCCTCCCTGCCTGAGCTGCTGGAGGCCATCTCGGGGCTGGTGGTAGAGTTCCCCAGGCTTATGGTTCTGGAGGACTTCAACCTACCGTCCCTGGGGGGGTCCTCGGAGGTGCCTCGGGAGTTCATGGCTACCATGGCGGCCATGGGCCTGTCTCAAATTGTGCAGGACCCAACCTGAGACAGTGGCCACATGCCAGATTTGGTTTTCTTG